TTATTGCTGATCTGATTTCTCCTATGGCCTGACAGATTTATTTTACCTCAGTTGTTACCATTGCAGAAATTTCAGATGGATGACTTCCACTTTCTTCTATAGCCATGTCTCCTGGGTTTGTTTTGGGTGGGCTGGAGGTCTGAATTTTATTTTACTCCTTTGTCTTGACATTTGCAGTGCTCTGTGATGGCTCCCTTGATGGTGGAGGAGCGATGGGCAGGTTCTCTCCCCTCCCTGGGTGCTCACCAAGGTTCTGCAGTGGCTTCCTCAATCATTTTAAATTCTTACTAGTATACTAAAAAAGATAGAGTTTACTAGTATACGAAGAAAGATAGAGAGGTGGGGAATCAGGAATGAAAAAAGCAATATTTGAAAAACCACTGAATAGGATATGTGATCAAGGAGTGAAAAGGGAGAAGGGAGTCCTACTGCAGTATAAATGGAAATCAATAGTGTTAGAGAACAGTTGGAGGAAAAATCAAGTGTGGAAAGGAAGAAAAATATAAACAGCAAAATACAAGAAATGAAAGGTAAGGAGGAAGAGAAAAATGCTGAAATGGGAAAAGAGAAAAGGAGAGAAACAAACCTTAAAGAGGAAATAAAGAGGATGAAAAACTCCAACCCCTTAAGAAACCAGGTAAAGGGAAGATAAAAATTGTACAAAGTAGAAAAATCAAGAAAAGATTGAATCAAAGAAAAATTTGTCTTTCCAAGATCTGTTTTTGGGGTCCAGCCAGGCTTGATTTTCTCTTTCTCACGTTGGGTTATGGGTTTGTGAGGTGCCATCCGTGTGCCAGAGGCCTCTCTGTTCACCCCTGATTGTTGTTACTGTCCACACAAAGGTGTGTCCTTGCTCTGGTTGATAGATGGGATGCATTGCTGGCCTCCTGGTATCTGCTAACGTAGTCTGAATGGTGGGGGTTCAAGTGGACTTCTGCCCTTAATGTCAGCAGTCTCAGGGTCTGGTCTTCTCTCCTTGAGTGTTGTACTTGGTTAGGATCAGGTTGTTTGGTTAGCTCTTGCCTCTGCCACCCTGTGCCAATGGGAAGTAAAATGTAGAGCTTACATGGAGTTGGCGGATGCTTACAACCTTGCATGGGGAGGAAAGACACAACGCACACCAGAGCGGGCTTGCTTGCTCACACGGTGGGGCATCGTGTACCTGGCACAGCCCTGCTTGCTTGTGTAGGTGGACGGTCACCGCACATCGAGGTTGGGGCTGCTTGCTAGCGGGGGTGGGATCTATGCATCCGACGTGGGCCTGCTTGCTTGCAATGGGGTAAAGGCACCACACATCCGCACATGCCTGCTTACTTATATCAGTGGAAGTTTGCTGAGTGTTTCTATTAGCATACTAGATATTGTCATACGTTGTACATGATTTCAGTATATGCTTCTCATTTTTATTTTTAAAGGTTCTAATTATGAGTAATTCTGAACATATTCAAGTGGTCAAATTAGTATAATGAATGCCCATATATTCATCACTTACCACCACTCAGGCCAATCCACGGACTACTATATTAAAGCATATCTCACACATCATGTCATTTATATTTGATCTATAAATACTTCAGTATCTCTTTTTAAACAAAACTAAGATACATTGTTACCTTAAAAAACCAATATTTTCTTT